ATGTTAACAATATGTATATATAAGTTATAATGAAAAAAGTTTTGTCATCTACTTTGCACATAATTAGGTTTAACATCTTGTACAAATATGTAGCCTCTAGCATATTGATCAATAACATAAAACTTTTAATACGTTTTGGTTTCTGACATATCTAATTTCATTATTCTCAGTTGGCTAGCATCAATCTAATTAACAAAATGAGGGAAAGAATACTCAACAAGCCAAACAAAAGAAAATGAAATACGCAACTTATATTAATGTCTTGAACAAAATCCTCAGTTTTATGTACATCAAAAAATAGAATCCATGGAATCGAGTATAACAAAAAATTAATATACCAAAAACAAAACAAAAAAAATTAATGAATGCAAAGAATTTCTAACTCTTGATTGTATTGAAGATACTGCCTCTGTGACTTGTGTAGATCATAAGGAGCCCATAGATAATCAATTGGACAAGGCTTACCATCATCAAGCCTTACCCATGGCTTTCCTTTCCCACTCCAATGTATCAAACTGACCGGACCAGGATGCAACGATCTGCAACTACTCACAATATTGTCTCCACCTAGACCGTGCTGGTTCCACTGATGATCAATAGCTTCAATCTCCCCCGAAAACACAAGAAGAAAAGGCGGTAACGAACCCAATTCATAAATCCTCTCTTCTTTCTGAATCTTCATCCAATTTTCGATCTTTTTCGTGTAATCTCCTTCTCTCCATCTATCTAAATCGATCACCATCACTCCTGTATTGAAATAACAAGGCGTTTTTGAATCGAAGACGCTGGAGAGTTCTCGATCGGACCAGAAACGATCAGAGAAGTATTTGGTGAAGTTTGCGTGGCAATACTCTGGCGCACCGATTGTTCTTGAACCGGATAATGAAATCTTCCATAGTTTTTCGATATCGTCGACTACAATCACATCTGAGTCTAGATAAATCACTCGATGAACACACGACGAAAGAATCTCGGACAAGTAGCTTCTTGCGTAATTCAATGGACTATCAAGAGCTTGTCTTATAGAAGAAGAGATTAGATTCTTCACCATTGTTTCATCAAAGGTATAGACTTTGAAACTCAGAGAAGGAAAAACAGAGGAGAGAGTCTTGGCGAGTAAACCGTGGCTCGAACCCGAAGCAATGAAGTGAAAGAAGATGTTTTGAGGGCAAGAAGTGTGTTTGAGAATGGAGTGGACTGCAGATACCGTGCCACGTAAGTAAGCTGGGTCAAGGGTCATAGCTATATGAACAGCTGAAGGATCACAAGCTAACAAGAGTCTGTTTTTGGCTAAAACAGAGCATTTGGGACCGTTTTGGTATGCAGGAGCCTCCATGAAATCTGAAGAAGCATCTTTGAATGAAGATCTTTCGTCTGCGAATAATCGAATCGATCCCACAGTGAAGAAAGTTGTGGAGATTATAACCAAGATTATTAGTGTAGAAGCTGATCTAGAACTAGACATCATCAGAGAGAACTGATCGTTTTGAGGACAGGCTAAGATTTTTTTAAAAGGTTTGGGTTTTTGAGTTTCTGGAATTTATGTGAAGAGAGAGAGAGAGAAGGGTCGAGGAAGAAGACGAAGATAAGAACTGAAACGCGGTTTTGTAAAGAAAAGAAGACGGTCAATATACGTTCGTTTAAAAACTCGTTCCTTATTGACCTTGTCACTGTCAATGTTCTTTTTGTAGATTTTTTTTTTCTTTTTCTTTTCTTTCTAGAACATTTAATTTAAAACACGGCAAAAATAAAGTTAAAAAGTTCGAATTGATAGTGAGAACATTTCTAATGAAACACGGCAACAACAATATTGATGAGTATTGTTCATTGTTGTATATGGTTACAAATTAACAACATTAAGGATACATTGATGACCAAGTGGGGGAGTTGATTTGGAAAAGAAGTATGGATTTTTATGCTCTCAATCTAAATTTCATTTGGAATCATGACACATTTTGGATTGCATATCACTCGGTCCTTGTGAAAACATATCGAATTTCGACCTTTTCAGTTGGAAATTCATTATACAAGATCTTTTTTGTGGACCTCTCTATTTATGTCGGACCCTCTATACAAGTCGGACGATTTTAGTCGATTGGGGTTGGATCATATTCTAGTCATGGACTCCTAGTCCGATGCCTATCCAAATCGCCCAAATTTATTGTAAAATACCAATCTATATGCGAATATATCGACTGTTATACCAAAAAAACCGGCATAATTATTGCAATATCTAGAGATTCAATA